ACAGTGGTTTTCTGTGCTAAGTGTCCTCTAGGGCCCAGTGGTTCAGCCTCCCCAATTACCTGAGGAGGACACTCTTGATGCACCCCCTTGTGGTCTTTGTTCACAGTCTTGTTGTAATTAAGCCTTGATTGTTGTAGTTATCACTGGGAGGAATTGACCTGCAGGCCTATTGGCTGTGAGAATCAGCTGTGTCTGCAGTGGGAGAACTTCTGTGCTGGAGACACCCCTCTGGGGCAAGACTTGCTTCAATGGGGCTTTGGTGCTCACTGAGTCTGCTCCCTGAGTGTGTCTTTTATGGTTCCACGGAGCTGCAAACTGGATGGTCCCACTCTGACCTCTGGGTACATTGGCTCCTGGATCTCTAGGGAGGTGCTAATCTAGCCTCTGCCTTAGGCTATCCAGCAAAAGCCTCCCAGCAGGGCTTGGGCGGTGTGGGTCCCACGGGATCAACAGGGTGCTGCTAGCAGTTATGGCTGCTCTCAGTCTTGCCCTCAGAGGCTCTGCTTCTCAGTGTCCCGGTAATTGCTGCAAGCCCCTCAGAGAGAAAGCTGCCCTGGAGTTCCAACCGATGCCAGACAGTCCCGCTTCTCCTGTATGAGTCTGGGTCCCTAGAGACTTGCCCGGAACTGGAGCTCAGAGCCTGAGACTCCGTCCCTATTGAAAACGTCAACCGCGCCCTCAGCCCCCAGCCCGCTCTGCATGCACTCCGCACCTTAGTATTTTACTTCCGCACTGCGCCTCCTCTGAATCTCGGTATGCTTTTCTCTTTCCTTCTAGTTGTAGAATTTCCACTCAGCCAGCCTTGCTGTGGTTCTGGATGATGTCCTTTCCGTCTTTTAGTTGTATTTTTCAAGTGGTTGTTCGAGGCAGCAAACTCCGGTGTTTACCTATGCCGCCATCTTGGTTCTCCTCTGGATTGGTGTTTCAAGATTCTTAGGATATATTCACAGAAGTGGGATCACTGGATCAAAAGGTAGTTCCTTTTTTTTTTTTTTTTTTTTTTTGGAAACTCCATACTGTTTTCCACAGTGGCTGCACAAGTCTGCATTTATCAACCTTTATTACACAAACTACATTGCTTTCTGGATTGGGATTATATTTGACAATTCAGAGATGTTCATTAATATTTTTCTAAAGCGTGTGCAATTACAAAAAGGTATAAAAGTGAATCAGAAGTACCAGTTTAAAACAGACAAGCTGGCCCGCCTGGTGTGGCTCAGGGGTTGAGCATCGACCCATGAACCAGGAGGTCACCAGTTCAATTCCCAATCAGGGCACATGCCCAGGTTGCAGGCTCTGTCCCCAGTAGGGGGTGTGCAGGAGGCAGCCGATCAATGATTCTCTCACCATTGATAATTCCATCTCTCTCTCCCTATCCCTTCCTCTCTCTCTAAAAATCAATAAAAACATTTTTTTAAAAACAGATAAGCTAGGCTGGGGCCCTGGCTACAGAGGAGGCTGGCATAGCATGTAACTGCCATCTCCCTTGAGAGCCTGAAGAGAGCTTAATCTTGGGAGGTGAAGGCCTCTCTGGCATATAAATACTAGGCCATCCAAGAATAATAAAAATCCACCATGACCACACTCTCTGTCCATTAAACATATTACTATGCACCATATGCCACATTAAATGTAATATTTATAACCTGTAGAAATAATACAATTTCCCAAGCAAATTGACTTCTCTTTGTGTCAAAGCTTACCAACATGCTAGTAATGAATCGACAAAATAAGTATGCAAGTTCAGAAAGGGTAGGAAAAAAAATATTTCACATCCTTCAAAAGAAAACTTACATAAAGAACTGGATTTTACAACAGCCTTAAATGACACATTAGACCAGATAGATTTGATTAATGTTTTCAGAGCATTTTACCCCAAAGCAGCAGAATATACATTCTTTTCAAGTGCACATGGAACTCTTTCCATGTTAGACCATGTGTTAGGCCACAAAATAAGTTTCAATAAATTTAAGAAGATTAAAATCAAATATCTTCTCTAACCACAATGGTATGAAACTAGACATCAAATACATGAAAAACACTTAAGATCATGGAGGCTAAAAAAAACAAGCTACTAAACAATGAGTAGATTAACAGTGAGATCAAGGAAGAAATCAAAAGATACCTTGAGAAAAATGAAAACAGAACAATCCAAAATCTATGAAACACAGTGAAAGCCATCTTAAAAGAGAAGTTTATAGCAATACAGGCCAACCTAAAGAAACAAGAAAAATCTCAAATAAACAGTCTAACCTTACACCTAAAGTTACTAGAAAAAGAACAACAAACAAAGCCTAACATGAATTGAATGAAGGAAATAATAAATATCAGAGTGGAAATAAACAAGATGAGTCTAAAAGGACAATACAAAAGATCAATGAAACCAAGAGCTGGTTCTTTGAAAAGATAAACAAGACTTATAAACCATTAATCAGACTCATCAAGAAAAAAAGGAGAGGACCCATATAAGTAAAATAAAAATGAAAGAGAAGTTAACAGCTAATACCACAGAAATACAATGAGTTATAGGAATATTTTACAAACAAATATATACCAACAAATTGGACGATCTGGAAGAAATGGATAAACTCCTAGAAACACACAATCTTCCAAGAAGAAACAGAAAATCTGAACAGACCAATTACAACCAACAAAATCAAAGCAGTAATCAAAAAACTCCCAACAAAAGTCCTGAACCAGGTGGCTTCAGAGGTGAATTTTATCAAGCATTCAGAAAAACCAACACCTATCCTTCTCAAACTACTCCAAAAAAAATCAACAGGAGGGAATCTCAAGCTCCTTTTATGAAGGCAGCATTATACTGATTCCAAAGCCAAATAAAGACACTACAAAGAAAAAAATTAATTAAGACTGCTTTCACTGTGTTTCATAGATTTCTATTGCCTGGCAATGGGCAAAGAGAAACCTGATTGGTGGTGTTGCTCTTATATCAGTCAGGAGCAAAGCAAACATACAGTCCTTAGTTCAGCCTAATTTGATGCCTGTGTTGGTGGCCAGAGTTGTTTTATGCCTGGGAAACATTTAAAAAAGAAAAATTAAAGAAAAGTATACACCAGTATCCCTAATGAACATAAATGGAAAATTCCTCAACAAAATATTAGCAAACCAAATTCAGCAATATATCAAAAAGATGATACACCATGAAAAAGTGGAATTTATCCTTGGCATGCAAAGATGCTTCAATATCCAGAAATAAATTAATATGACACACCACAGAAACAAAATGAAGGATAAAAATATCATCATATCAATAGATGCATAGAAAACATTTGACAAAATCCAGCACTCATTTATAATAAAAACTCTCAACAAAGTGAAAATAGAGAAAACACACCAAAACATAATAAAGGCCATCTATAATAAACCCAGATAACATACTCAATAGGGAAAAATTAAAAGCTTTTCAGAAATAAGATCAGGAACAATAGAGAGATGTCCACTTTCACCACTCTTATTCAACATAATACTGGAAGTCCTAGCCACAGAATCAGACAAGAAGAAGAAATAAAATGTATCCAAATTGGAAAGAAAGAAATAAAACTGTCATTATTTGAAGATGACATAATACTGTAATATAGAGAAATCTAAAGATTCCATTTTTAAAAGCTACTAGAACTGCCCTAGCCGGTTTGGCTCAATGGATAGAGTGTCGGCGTGCAAACTGAAGGGCTATGGATTCAATATCCTCAGGTAAGAATTAACCAAAAAAGAAGCTACTAAAACTGATAAATAAATTCGGTAAAATAGCAGGATACAAAATTAATATTCAGAAATCAGTTGCATTTTTATACACCAATAATGAAGTATCAGACAGAGAAACCTAGAAAACAATGACATTTATAATTGCATCAAAAAATACCTAGGGAGGGGAGGGGCGGGGCCCGGCTGGAGGCGGGCGGGCAGCTGGCTGTAGAGCCCGCG